AGCGAACGGGCGGGGGCCTCACCGGAGCAGCCTCACCGCGGGGGAGTCCTGTCCCCACATTTCTCCTAGCATCCCGCTTCCGGTGCCCTCCTAGCTTTTTATATCACGTTTTTAGCCAGGCGTGACTCAGAATGTTGATTGCGATTAAGCAAGCTGTCTATCTAGAGATAGAGATATGTGGCAGCGTAATAGGCAGGATGATTGACATTACAAACTTCTCTTCGGTCCACAATGACCAATAAATCCCCCCGCAGCTTTTGTCATTTAATGAATTGCTATTTTGGTAGAGGAAAATATGCCAGACCCCCCATTCCTATGTTCTCTTCTTTCCCCCTCACCCTGTCCTGGGATTAGGGCAAGGAAAGAAGGGGAGCCATTCATTATGCTCTTTCTGTGTTCTGTAATTACTGGAACTCAGTCTTAAGGTGAATTTCAGCTCAGATCATGAACCATTTCACGTTCAGATGCAAGCTTGCAATACTTTCCTAGTGGCAATTAGGAGCCTATTACAAGCCATTAGATTGATCAATGTACCTTAAACAATGTGAATGATTTATATGGCAAAGAAAAAAAACCTTCCTACATCCATTGTACTGTTCCAGCGACCAACCTGGCCCTCTGTCTCCATTCATCACAGCTTTAAACAACAAAAGCAATTTATTTAGTAAAACTTAAATGCAAAGAAACAGGCTCAGTTCTTCGTCATCTTGGGCATCCGAGCTTTATCTCTTTTTTCTCAAGAGATGTAGGCTGGAAGAATTCGAGTTTGTGGGGTGGGAAGGGAGGGGTAGATTTTGCAGGTTTCCAAATGGATTAATTCACCTTGTACATGAAAGAAGGAAACAAAGAGATCCCTGACTGCTTCCTAAAGAGGACACTAATCTACTGTGCAGATGCAACACAAAGAGGAAAGCAGTATCTTACACATGGGTTCAACGAAGTGTTTGGTTAGATTATTGTAGCCTTTTAATGACAGTGTAGACACAGAACCATGATCCTTGGAAGTTCCAAGATAGCTAAGGAGTGGAAAGCAGGCTGGGATGTGCCTGCTGATGGAGGGATAAGGGTAGGTGCAGTCTTTTCCACCATAGGTGATTATTCTAACCATTCTACAACTAAGAAACTACAAAATATCAGCTTCTATGAAAGCCAGAGCTGCTATTCTGTAGGCCTCAGGTCTGTCTTTATTTGTCTCCTTTCAGAAGACCCAGGGAAACTCTCACACCTGGAAAATTCCTCCTAGCTCCTGGCAACCCCAGAGTGAAGGGTTGGGAGAGACTGGTGACTTTGCCCTTGCCACCAATTTATTAAAGGGACAGAGATTCAGTTCAGAAGGAAGGAATAGGACCATGATTTACCATTCATTGAACTGATGCCCTCTGTTTCTTGCATTTTTCTTACCTTTCTGCTAATCTTATTTACCTTGATACTTGATACCAAAATTAGTCTCTGCACTTACTAAGTTACTGAATGAATCTTTGGCTTGGTGTTAAACAGTTCTGAAATGCTTCAAATTAAAACTGCTGCGAAACAAAACCCCACACATGTGAACTAACTAAGCCATTCTTTAAAAAGTTACTTTAATAGGACCAGTGTAACTGGTGACATTGTTTGTTAGAAAAAAGCCAAAACATCTGTAAGTCTTTGTTAGCTGGAAATTTATTTTGGACTATCATACGAGAATGTTATTAATTTAAGATTCCAATTATTATTTGTGTTTCAGCAACAATCTGCTCTCTGGAAATTGCTGCAATGCTTGTCAAAAGTCACTGTTTTATCCTATAATTTTCTACAAGGAGGTAAGCACAGAGCTCCTCAGTATCGGTACAAAGAAAAGAAACAAGGAATGAGTGTCAAGTTCTGTCAAGACATAAGACTCTTTCACTACAAAACGTGGATACAGCCATTCCTGATTTTCCAAGTTGTCCATATGGGGTCAATACCGTTCACTTATTTAGTTATCAGCTGCTTTCTTTCTTGCTAGCAGGGTAAAACACAAGGTGTACCATGTAAAACCAAATGATAGTTGCAGTAGGAATAAGAGCAGTCCTCCCCCTTCCCCAAAGGAAAGCCCACATTGAGAAGAACATTTATGTTGAGAGAAGAGCATTTCTGTTGAGTCTGTCGCACACTAAATCCACTTCTTCCCTTTCTTGTAGACCGTACGCTATCGAGTGCTTTACCCATAGAATCAGCAGTGTGTCCTGCTTAACTTTAACTTGCTCTTTATCATGGAGGAGACATCAAAGAAGAATAAAAGATCTGCAGGCCTCTCTCAAAGATTTTGTAGAAATTGTCCATTTAGTCACATTGTGCTTTAAAGTCTTTTTCCCTTCCCGAAGCTTTGTATTTGTCACTTTGCCCAGGAGAGCTGCTGGGCCAATCTTCTCAAGACATGTCTTAGCCTTCCTCTACTTTAAGTATTGCTACAAAAACAGTATACTTTGAGGGATTTCTGCAGTTCTTAACTACACATATACAAAAGCAGCCTATGCTTCCTAATATGCTGTTTCAGGCCCTTACATTCCAATCTGGCTTGCATTGCCCTTTAATTATCTGTCTTCTTATTGTGATCAAGTGAATTTTTACTAATCTCCACATTTATTGTTAAGGTAAATAGATGCTGCTTTTAATCAGTATGGAGGACCAGACCAATGCAGTTTGAAGTAACTTAAGTCAACTATAAAGGGTTCAATGTGTGTATAATTACAGAGGACGTCAGCTATTCACTCCAGTCTAATTCAGTGTCTGTTTAGAGACAGAGCTCTTCCTTTCCCCTGCTCCCTGTCTCACCTGATTTTCTCCCCACTGCTCTGCAAAGCTGGCAAGAAGAACACAGTGGAGGCCAAGCCAGCAGCAGTCCTCCTGAACTTCAGGCTGGATTCATTTAGTGGATTGGAACTCCTAGGTGGGTATAAGCATACGGGTACAATATAACACCTTCTCCCAACAAAAAAGATTGATTGCATCTTAGCCTCGGTATTACATGTGCTATTATCAGAAGAAGCTGGAATAATGCATGCAGTCACTTTAAAAGAAAGCAGGTTTCCTTTGCGAGCATACTTATTATTTCAATAGTATTTGAGAACTAGTTTAATAGTGGCCACGTTGTTGCTTACTAAAATATATTTGAATTGAACATGTATGTATCAAGGTATTTTTTCTTAATTTTAGTTTGAATTATTCCTGAAGTTCTCATTAAATTTACCATTTGTAAAGGACAGATTAAATGAAAATGGCTTTTAGAAAAATAGAGCTGGAAATTATTTTGACCTTTGTGACCTGATAGAGGTGATAATTTGCTGCAGCACTAGATACTGGATGTATCTGACATTTTAGGTATTCCCTCATAGTTTCAGACCTTTGTACAGATGAACTCCACCTGGGACAACTCAGCAGTCAACTTCTTGTTACCTTAATGTAAATGAGAAGACTACAGCTGTCTTAAACAGTCTAGGTGGACACCACCAATGGAAAATTAAACTTGGCGAGGGCATAGCTAAGAAAAGAATGTCTATTATCCACAATAATGCTCCTAACATTTTCTAAACAGCTATTACCTGTGTCTGTCCATAATTGTCCTTGTTGCAGTAACGTTGCAATCTTTCTTTCTGAACAGTTACAGAAATCTCTCCCCACTGACTTTTCCATATGTAAACAACCTATACAGCATTTTATAATGTAAAACAAATGTGGTAAGTAGGTCCCACATTAAAAAATCATTTTGAGTGGAATGTCTGAAATGCTCAGGGGATTTGTGGGGGAGGTTAGAAAATACCACCACTTGCACTCAGTTTCCAAATGCATTCCCATATATGCAGAGGAGTGTCAGTAGGACCTATAGAGCACATTGTTACTGAATTTGGGTTGTCACTGAGAACAAATAAGTCGCTTTCTCTTTTGCAAAATGATGCAAAATAAGCTGTAGTAGATTTTTGTTATCTAATAGTTCTCATGGCTTTTACTGGACATAAGCATAACTAAATTTTTATATTGACAATAAAAATATTTGTCTATTTAGAAAACAACATGATGGCAAAATTCCCAGTTACAGAAAAAAAAAAAATTGAAGCCAAAATTTATATCATCACACCCCTCTATTTCTACTCTTTTTAGATAAAACATGTTAGTTACTCTAATTGAAATGTGATTCTCTGTAAGGGCAGATCATTATACAGAGGGATTGAAAGCAGGGAAACAAAATGCAAGTTTCACATTTCTAAAACCTCTTCTCCATAATTAAGAAATAGGATGTTCACAATTTCCACACAGTACTTAACATAGTGTAACTTGATCCTCTATGATGTATTTTGGAGGAAATTTAGCAAAGCTCCCAGGTTTGTTCACCTGAAACGTGTACAAAAATGTGTCCTGTTTGGTTTTTTGTAAGCATCCTGGCTGAAAGTACAGCTCTAGGAGGAAGAGTAGGCAGTGTCCTCCAGCTCTTTCCTATTATCACTGTACATACATCAGGATGTAAAGTCATGAAGCCAGACCTTTCAGCCAGTACCCAAGGTATTATGCACTAACTTCAAAAGAGATTTTATCTGAGTGAGAATTACATGCTCCTATTCAAAGTAAGATGTTGAAGTTAGTGCACATAGAAACTTGTGCTTGTTCAGAGGAAATTGTCTAAAACGGTGTGAAGTGTAAAATACAATTGCAGGCTTTGGAAAAATAAGTTGAGTAATGCTTTACCTCCACAGACTGTTTTGAAACCTTCTTTTCCCAGCAGTGTGGGGAGTGCTGATATCCAGAACACAGAGATGCAATACTGCATTTTTCCAGGGAGTATCTGTGGTACCCACAAACTGACTAGCTACATTCCATGAAGCAACAGGAGCACAGGAACAATTCTTTGTGCCTGAAGTATGTACTGGAGGCGCTACAAAATGTGGTTTATTGCCATGTTAGGGATGGACTGAGCCCATATAACATTGAATGTTCTAATGGTGTGCAAAACCCTGCAGTATCTGGAATTTTGCAGCTCCAAGACCAAAATTTTACAAACACTAATTATTTGCAGATGGTGCCTTACCTTACTTGCAAGTGTTAGTGTCTGCACACTCACACTTGTAACTACATAATGGAGAGGGAGGGGATCTCTGTAAATAAAATGCTTAAAAAGAAAACCAAATAGTCAAACTAGCAGCTTGGTAGTTTGATGTTAAATTGCCTATTGTTACAGTATTTTTCAAATAGCTGTTACCATAACAACATTTTTTTTCTTTAAATTTTTTTTAGCTGTTTGGAAAAAAAAATTCTTGCCAGAATTCTTCCATAATAGCTTCCATTAATAGCACTGTCTTCTGTTGGGGAGGCCAGTGCTGATGTCTCCTGCTGTCACAAGTCACTCGCACATCTAGCAGATGTTTTGTTTGATAAGGCAAATTTGAGCTTTGTAGAACATGTTGTGTTTTTTCATCCATCCCCAAAGAGCAAGTATCAGTTAGGATGAGATTCCAAGCTGATCATTTGCTAGGAGACAAGGTGTGTGATACCTGTCAGCAGAATGTGACCCACCCCTGAAAAACTATCTCAGACTGCACTGTAAAGATTCTCCTTTAATGTAACAATAGTGTCCCAAGCACCAAGAGACCGACCTTGGAGCCATACATATAACTAACAAAAAAAAAAAAAAATAATGGGAAGGAGGGAGAAAGGAGGTAAAAGTCCTTTAGGAGTCCAGTATTTTTCTCTGATTCTGTAGCACATATTTTACTAGATTCTTAATGTAAATGCTGTAGATGAAAGTGGTTTATCTCTATCGAACAAAAGTAAAAACAATTGGAAAAAGTGAAAGAAAAGGAATCCGCTTTAAACATTGATGCTGCCCCAGCAACACTAGCAATTTTATTTTGGATTCAAGTAATTTGCATGACTAAGAAATAATTGCTTTTCCAGCCCCTCCTCACTCTTCAATGTGGCAAACATGTCCAGATTATTATATTTAATAATTTGTCTGCTAATACCATCTTGTTTCTGGAAACAGAGACCCAACTATTTATTTTTGCAAGGCTTATTTTATAATCAGGTTTTTCATTCTATAATCAGCTAGGACCATATTTTAGTGTAAGTTGTTTGATTTTTTTTTAGCATTTAATGCAGAATAAGAGAAGGTTCCATGAAATACTTGAATGCTATATAAAATTTCTCAGAGGAGAAGAAAATACTGCTATATGTTATTTCTGTGTTAATGACCTGGATTAGAATGAGTAGCAGCTAGCCAGCCCATAGGGCATGCTACTTTTGGAGAGGAAGGTGTGTTACTGTGTACATCCCAATATGTGCACATGTGTGTGCCCATGTTTTCTTTGTACTAGCTAAAAATAATATTGAAAAATCTTAAAACAGTGTTGCTAAACAGTGTACTTTAATTTCCATGCTCTTTTATGTAAATCTACATTCACAAGAGTAGTTTAAATTAATTCCAGAGAGGGAATTCCATATCTGTACAACTGTAAGTGACACTACAAAACAAAGTGGTTATCTGGTCATAAGGCGTCAATGAGACTACTGCCAGAACATCATATCTTCTGTTTATTTGTGAAGGTATAAAACATTTTGGTGAACCTGAAGACAGCAGTGTTGAAAATAACATCACAAATCCTGTTGCTCTGTTTCAAATTCTGAATAGATAGGGTGAAATTCAGATTTTTCTTTCCCAATGTGTAGCTGAAAATGTTTTTTAAGTAAATTATTTCCCCCCATATTTCTGTGTATTTAAAAACATACACACTTGGATGTATTTCCACTTTTAAGAATGCTAGTTCCAGTTTTAAGAATGCAACAAGTCCAGCATTGTCTGTCTGCTGTAGTTTCTGGTTTAGCAACAGAGCTGTGCCAGGTTTAACTAAGACATTTTGATCACTCGTGATTTAACATAAAAAGGTGAAAGTGCTACTACAGATGTCTGCAATTTGACTGATAATGTTAAGAATGTTCATCCACACACTGTCCATTCGATTTGCTCTGATGAAGTGAGGTTACTAAACCTGAGATCATTTCATGCGGGCAACAAATCTGAAGTTTTGAAGTCAAGTGACAAGTACTGCATGCTCCTGTTTTACGCTCCGTATTGGTTTTAAGTGCATGTAACAAGTGTTAATGAGATGCAGTAAATTAGTTAACAACAAAAATCTCTTGCATTCACACCACTCTGAGTAACTAGGATCAAGAAGACAAGCTTTCAACAGAAAGAGCTTTTATACCTTGCTCCAGGAGTGTGACCAGTCATGGTAGGTTGCTCTTGGACTCAAAACTACTGAGAGGACTTTGGAAATGGGCACTATTTGAACTTCTGAGCATGGTCTATAATCTTGCTTAATAATTACATCAGCTGTGATAGTTTAATTCAGTGTAGGTATCTAAAACTATTCCTGAAATGAATAATAGGCATGCTTTATAGCTTATGCATGTCAGAAGTTATAAGACAAGTCTCATCATGGAATGTAACTATTTTAACATGACTTTTTAAATAGTCCAACCATTTAAAACAATTATGTAACATTTTTTCTCCAATTTTTAAAACAAAAAATGTTTCTTTGTATTTATAGGGTTGAATATAGTTAAGTGACCTCTACAAAAACTTCCTCTTTGAAGTGTTCTCTGAAGAGATCTTCAAGGCATCTGAGTGCCTCAGATTGTGATTTTGTAAGGTTTTGATGCTAGAAAATTGTTTAACAAACAGCTCCAAAATATTGAGATTTTGATTAATAACATACAGTGTCATGGTATTTAAATAATAAAAAGTTTGAAATCTAACATGTGGCAGAAGACTATGTGTTCCACATGGTTAAGAGAATAGGAATGGGGGCATACCAATATCTGAGCAGGAGGGAAATAGTTATACAGAGCCAATTAAACTGTTGTTTAGGAATATATTATACTGTTGTCTCTACTTGTGCCAGAACTTTTCCTCTGAATTCATGGTTGAAGAGGATGCTACTTCAGCAGAATAGGGAGTTTGGGTTACTGTTGCTTTTTTTTTATGTGTACATACTGTATGACTCTGCAGAACCCTGGATTTGGTTAACGTTGACTTGTCAGCAGACAGCAGTTTGGGAATATTAGCCTAATTTCTTAAAATAGTATTATGTGAATAATTTAGGAAATCTAGATTAGTATAACAGTCTTGAAGAGCAATGCTCACACTGCAATCAGTTCTAAGGCCTCAGTACATTTCACTGTAGTTAAATTCTAAAGTGTAGAGTTTCATGCTCTTCTCAGTGTTGAAACTTTTCTCATAAAAGAGTACTCTGCCAAAACAAGTTTTACGCTGTCTAAGGAAGCAAATACTACTGTATCTGGAGTCTTTGCAATGACAGGACTTTAACTAATGTTGAGATATGCTCTACTGGCCTACACTGAGGGGTTGATTTAAAAATCCCACCTCATTTATACCCTCATTACCACTAGATTAGGATCGCATCTGATCCCATAGTAATTACATATTAGCTGTGTATATTATCTGATGTTTGCATATGAGTTTTTATTTTAATAAGTGAAAAGTAGAAAACCCAACTCTGGCATCTATACCCCATTTGCATATATACTTTTTAAATTCTAAACCAGAAAAAATTTGTAGCTGTAATCTGTATTTTACGGTAAGCCAAAAGGGATTTCAAAAAAGCTAAAAACATTGATTTAAAAAAATAAAAAAAATAACAGGAGCAAAATACAAAGTAGTTAACTGCTTGATGTGAATACATTAATATCAGAATATGCAAGTTGCCATTTACCATGCCATTGCAATGCTGCACCTGTCCAGACATAACACTATTGGAAGATGAGCTGTACCTGTAATTCTTACTGATGCAAACATTTCTTTGTTGTTTTTAATTGTTGGAAGTAGTGGGTAGCTGTAGAGGTGTACAGTGGAAAAGATTAATAACCTACATTTCTGAGCAGTTTTGCATTTGATCTATCAGTTTGAGGAAAATACTTCCAAATGCAGGTCTCTATTAGTGATGGAAAGTGGTTGCAATATGAATTTGCTTTCAACAGTGCACTATGTAAAATGGACAATGAAATTAAAGTTACTCTGTTTTCAGATCAATGTAGGCATGAATTTTAAAAACGTGAATAAAAGAGCTCATTCAGCAAGCCCTATTAGTTATGCCTAGTTTATATTTACAAATTGTTTAATTGTGGATTGGTATTACTAAATCTCCAGGATTATTTTGCAGTTGTTGGAATTAACATTAAAAATAGTCTCAATTTAATCTCTTTCAGAAGAGTTGAAGCTAAATGTTACAAAAGTAAAATGTAAATAGTAAGTAAGAGTCTTATGGCCAAATTATTATCTAATGACTGGAATCCAACTTCAGAATCATTACAGAACTTCTTTTTTATTGTTCATTCACCCCACCATAGATATAATTCAGTAAAAAAATTAAAAGAACATTTTAATAAACAGGAATATGACAAATCTTTGTGAGATTAGGATTCATGGATTAATCCTAAAGATTTTGAGATTATAGATTACCATCTTTCATCTCAAATAAACAGAAGGTAGTCTCTCAAAATTCTTAAGCACAAATACATTTTAGTTAGTTTTGGGGTTTTTTTCCTAAATAGTTTCTGTGGGTGAATTTCCAATCTGTTGATGCACATACCTACCACAGCTCACAGTCTACTGCAATTTCAAATTTCAAAACTAAGTAGGCTGGTATTTCTTTAGTCAATAATGCTGAAAGGTACATGCTGAAAAAGGAGGAAAACCCTAAAAACATTAAAATATCAAATATTTTCAAGGTGCTTAACTCATGCAGTCTCCGAGAATTACAGAAATTTAAAACTGCTGTAGTGAAGTTTCTGACAAAATGCTTTTTAGTACTGAGTTCTTTGTCATGTATGGGAAGGCTAATCAAAGTCTGAGGCACCCTTGCTGTTCTAATTTCATCTTTCCAGAAAGACTGGTCTCTGAGATACTGAGGCATCGGTTTTTCACCTGATGGTTTGTTGATGAGGCTTCACAACCAAATCCTCACGGTGTGTGAATTAGAGAGCTGGCTCTAGGCAAGTACAAGTTAAGCCATTTGTATCCATGTCACTTTGGACGTGTCTTGTTTTGTGAGCAATTAAAAAAATAGGTCATGTTTTGTACTCTGGAGATATTGCTGCTTGTGATTCTCTCAAAATTTAAACATTTTGCATGCCTCAGACCACTTGCAGGGTAAATGGAGTCCCCTGCTGAGTAGCTAATAGGGGAACTCACACTTTCAAGAAAAGTGTGTCTAATAGCAGGGGATTACTATAAATCTCCTGGTTTGATGTACACCCTCGCTTAAATGTTATGGGAGTGGCTTTGGTATCCTGCAGCTTCTGCATCCCACTTGTAGCTGCAGCCAGGCATATTTACAAATTCATTGAAGGCAGAAATTTTTAAAGAGGAGCTATCAGATCTCCTTAGAGATATCAAAAATCAAAAATTAAGTAATCTGTTTACCTTTCTTCCCTCCTTCAAAATGCTACATGTTCTTATTATTTTCAAGTTGCAGTCACAATTCAGGGGGATTTTTGAATTCTGTGATAGTTGGATATGGACTGCATATATATATATTCAATTTAAAGCAGAGAAAATGAAAGAAGTAAAACTACTTTTGAAATTAATTTATAAACTGAGTGCATTACATATAATTGTATGTTGTGCACTAGAAAGTATTTATGTGAAACTGACCTCTGAAGTAAGAAAAAAGTCCAGCCAGAAAATATTCGATAAATGTAATGATTGCATTTATTCACTTTATACTCTTGGACACAGTGTGTCCCAGGCACCATTTGTGATTCACAGACTGCTGATTATTTCTAAAAGAATCTATTGAAATTTTCTGAAAAACTAGGTTCATCCACAGAACATCACTTTCACAATTAATGGTTTTCATTAATTTTGTAGTTTCCTGAAACACTAGAGAAGCTGCCTTGATTTTCTTTTCTAGGCCAAAGATCTCTTGAGCTTTGTTTCCTGAAAGACCTCACTTGGGTGTTTCTAAGACAACTTGATGTTCCTCAGCTGGGCAGAAGGCATTCAAGCAGGTACTAAATGTAATAAGTCTAGATAAGAGACCAGTCATGTTTTTAATTGCCTTATTCCTTTCCTAGTTTTAGGAAGTGGATAGTCTATCATGATTACTCTGCTGTTCATACTTTCAGGTACAGACCAGGAAGGTGCCCGGGATTTGTGTATATTACAAACAACATGTTCTTTTTAATAAATATGTCTGTTAAAGGTAATTTTGTGGCTAGCTCAGCTGTCAGTCTTACAGCAGACATAGCTTCAGTTCTTTGGAGGCCATTTACCCCCCGTGTTATCACAGCAGTGAGGTGAATACTCGCACTGGTGACCATCATCTCTTTCCTGACTGACTGCTGTTCTTAGGCATTTTGTGCTTCACAGTACACCTCTCCAGAGAAGTGGGAATCTTAAGCTTGAAAGACTCCTGAGGCAAATGGTATTTCAGTCTCATTGAAATCCAGTGAGGCACCAAGCACTGAACAAAACCCCCCCAGAAATTACAGAAGAAATAACAGGAGAGACTTGAAATCACCTGAATCAATAGGAGTTCTTACCCTGCCCTGCAGATAGGTGAGTTCTCAAATGGTGCTGCTGCTGTTGTCAATTCCCTTGAATACCTGACCCATGAGACTGAAAGTGAATTGATAGGATGTTTCCTGTGTTGCCACACATGAATAACTCAAAAATACGCAGAAGATATAGGCAAAGTATGATTACTGTTTTCCTATGAGGAAATCTGAGTTGGTAAGTGTGTTGAGGTTTGTGTTGGGTGGACTTTCAGTGATTCAGAATCTTCCTTGATTGTTGAATGCCTTTAAAAGTAGCCCATGTTTCTGCTGGGATCATGCATAAAACATTAGCTAACATAAGAAGTAACACAGATAATTGCAGTGAAAATGGCTAACTTTATCTCAGATTTGTCTGTGAAGTCATCTAGATTTTTTTTTTCAGTGAAACATGCAAAATGAATGTGTGAGCCCCTATTTTTGTTTTGAAGTATATTTTCTTCATTTTTAGCTTAGTTTTTGCAGTGTGAATTTGCGTATTTGAATCATTCTTTTGCTTTGAGAACAAGACATGGTTTGTCTCTTTGCATAGTAAAATTAAGAATGTCATCTGGAGTCTGCTGAATTAGGGAAAACAACTTGGATACATTGAAACAATTTATAACTTTTGTTTTAGGAATAATATTTTTGTAATAGGAATTAAGGCTGATCAGGACATACTCTTTGCCCTAGAACTACTCTGAAACAAAGAAAGATGAGGACTGGAATTGCAGATTGAGAGAAGGCAAGTAAGTTTCCGGTCTAAGAGTTAAGAAAAGAGAAGCAATCATTCAATCAGAATCATTCAAGTTATATTTAATGATAGACTGAAACTTGCATTTGGGAAATCACTTCATAACTTACCCCAGATAAAATGAAAAGAGTAGTACCTTTTACCTGGAAGACCAAAAAAAAAAAAGGAATATTTTTCTCAACCATCTACTTAAGAAAATTTGGTATAAATTGATATGAATTGGTTATTGAAGCAGAGGCACCACTAAAACTGACTGGTTCTATTAAGTCCTCTCCCATTTTGTCCTGCAAAACAATCTCATCTTCTCATTAGAATGTCTGGAGACAGCTCTGTGAGTGACTATAGATTTCTTTTCAAGAGTCTGTAAATGTTTCAGATGCATCTGAGAGGCCATACACTGGTTACACATTAACATTTGCCAAAAATAATGACACTTCATTGTTACTGAACTAACATAACACAGCTATTCATACTTGGCCACCTACCTATGCATTCCAATCTACAAAACACTGTGAGGGAAGAAAATTGAAGTGGGATCATCATTTGGCAGATACATATCATAAATTAGCGATCTTCCCAAGGCTTTTCACTGAACTAACAGTGCAGCTAAATAGCTGTCACCAGGGCGCTATGCTCACACTGTAAGGAAATGGAGTAAGAAGAAATCATTAATACAAACATTATTAAACAGTTATTGATTCTTTCGAAGATAAACTGAGAGGGGCATACAAACATTCTCAGTTGTATCAAGGCACCAAGGTAAGGAGTGCCAGTTATTGAAAGCTGCTTGAGTCAGGACCCTGAGTGAAGCATAAGGGGTCACTTACATCATGACAACCTTTGTCCACCTGTTGAGGAGCTTGGCTGCCTGTGCTCAGGGCAAGACTGTCACCTGGCATCAGGTGCTGTGAAATAGGCCTGTGGGACATTCCCACTGGGGGCTTCTTGTCTGTTGAGAGGTATGTTCACATTCAGATGTGAGGTTGCAGGTATGCCAGCTCCTAGTTCTGTGACCTGTGAAGATCACGTGGTCTGATCTCCAGTCTGTTGTCACTTGGCTACCTGGCTTGACCACACACCTGTTTTGTCACTACTGATTTTTCTGGCAGTAAATGATTTCTGGCTAATCTTGGTTGCCATTGCCAAACCTGCTTTGCTCTTATTTGCTCAGGTATTATGGGGAAATTGTTCCTACTGGTCTTGCTGTCACCCTTTGTGCCTGGTTGGAGTTCTGTGGGTGGCTCACCTGCTCCA